GGAAATCTGACGGTGGTCAGATGGTACTGAGTGAGTGGGATGAGGATTGTTTTCTCATGTCCTAGTTGTTGGTCTAGGTCTCCTGACTTTGTTTAGTTATGGTCAAGTTGTGTCTTGCCAAATTTCTATTCATTGGCAGTTGTTCTTTGGCTGCATTTGGCAGCTGAAGAAAGATTTGTGCACTGGGAGGACTAGTTCCAGGTATCTATATAGTTGGAGCCCAGCTCTCTAAGCTAGAAGAGGAGTTAACCCTTTCCTTTCATACATTTTGCCCAAGCAGAAAGGGACCTTCCATTTCCCTTGCATTTTGATGCAAGTCAGCCATCAAAAAGAGAAAGGACAGGACAGCTGCACATTTCAAAAATAGGTAATGATGGGGCCAGGCAGTCTGGTGTATGAGTTCAGGCAATATGTTCAGCCTGGTTTCTAGACATGACTCTAGTGTCCATTCTCTCTCCCTAGGTAAGAATAATCACATTCATTCTTTTCCTGCCAAAACTGCTGGGGTGGTGCTGATCAGCTCCAGAATAATTTTCTATATTCCTTTATCTGCAGGTTGTGGTGGTGCTGCAGCAAGTCTTCCAGCTCATCCAGAAAGTACTTAGCAAGTGGCTGAATGATGCACAGGTTGTGGAGGTAATATTTCCCCTAATCAAAAGAAAGAACACCCGGGCATTAGTGCAAGCCACTTTGATCAGGTACAAATGGTAGTGCATGAACTGAATTTGCCACTCTGGTTCCTGGTCTCAGGGTGCCTGCCAACTTCTCTTTGTTTAAAAGAGTACACCTGAGGAAAGATTAATCTCTACATGACAGGAAGACGTCAGAGCCCTGCTGGTATTGCTATGATCTTTGGACCTGGGATTAGTATTTGTGTTAACAGGCTCTAGTGCTAGTAAGGTCCCTGAGACTAGATCTGTTTTTGCTCCTTCCAGGCTCCACAGCCTCATGCTATCTTGCTAAAATAAGCTGTGTGGTTTATGTTGAGCACAGTAGACAGCAACACTCAGTTGAATTGTCCTTTCTTGTCTATTCTGTCAGAGTCTGCCCCCCTAGAGTCAGATTTGACTAGCTTTCAAGCAAGGAAAACCTTTACCTTTACTAGTGAGTTGGGGCAGAACTGTGTCCTGTTCAGATATGAGGGTGAGTGTATGAGGCTGGCAGCAGAAGTCATGAACCAAAGGGTACAGTGGTTGGGATGGGTAAGCTGTTTGTTTCATACATATGTGCACAGGCATGTGTCCACTGGAAGAGGCCAGCTTGATCAAGAAGAATGCTGGGACAGGGAACCTGATACCTTCTCAAGAACTGTTTTTATTGCTACCTGGTTTGGGGAGTAGTGGACCTCCCTACAGCCTTGGTTGCAGGAGAAATATCACACTGCATGTCTGAAATATGAGGACATTTCAGGGATTCCATTAGAATTCTAACTATAAAAATTATTCAAAAACTGTGAGGTTCATGGGAATGTAAGTCACAGGATTTGGGCCCTAATTCTGGTTTATCCTCCCTCAAGATCAGCTGTTTAGTCAGTCCCTCCCTTAACAGAGTCCTCCTGTCTCCACAGTCTGTGTGCTCTATCTTTGAGAAGTCTGTGAAGACCCTGCTGGATGACTTTGCACCCATGGTGCCTCAGCTGTGTGAGATGCTGGGTCAGATGTACAGCACCATTCCTCAAGCATCTGCAATTGATCTCACAAAGCAGGTAATCCAAATTAGAGTTGGAGCTCTTGGAAGATGTCCAACTGAGATCACTCTCGCCCACCTAATGCTCTCGGCTTCCTCTTTTCATTTCATTCAGTACAGGAATTGTTCAAAATGTGTTATTTTCTCCTCTTCCCCCTCACCACCCCCATACACAGAAAACTGAGCAGCAGTCTAGTAGCTTCGTATTTGCTCATTGACTGCATATGCACTCTTGCTGATATGGGTTTAGTCAGCTCCTAGCCTTCTAGTGTAAGTCACTGATGCTCAGACTACGTATCTGGCAGGATGGGGTGTTCTATGCTGTTTATGCTTCATTTTTTCTTACCTTTGTCTCTGCAGCTGGTTCACATCTTTGCCCACGAGCCTGCCCACTTTCCACCAATCAAGGCACTCTTTCTGCTCGTCACATCAGTTACACTATCACTCTTTCAGCAAGGTAGGTATGCTTTGGCACCCTCACTGTGGTAGGGTTGCCACATTGGGAGTAACCTTTACTAGCCTCGCCTGTTTGGATTGCGTGAGGATGCCCCTGAGGTCATGGCAGTGCCCTGTTCAATATCTCTGGCTTCAGTTTCTTTAGCTGGTATGACTAGAAGGCCAGAACTAGAAACACTTGTGGACATGTACAATCTGGCATGCTTCATCCTAGGTAATTGCCTGAGGAGAGTTGTGCTATTGTGTTTATTACTCGTTTATTTGAAATACTGGTGATCCTGTCTTTCCCCTGTCAACAGCAGCTCAAGATGACTTACAAAATCCAATACACATTGGTATTATCCTTCCCACCCCCACCTCAGCTTCTCAAGGCTGGAGGCTTGCCCCTTTCCTGGCAAACTGAGTCAGTTTAGAATCCTGAAGGAAGATGGAATCAGTTGTTTCCTTTGCTTAATGCTTAGCTTCTGGTAGGAAGCTAGAATCATTAGGAAGTGTGTTTCTTCATCTTCCACCTTAACATGTGACTGTATGAAGCTGCCTTATACAGACTATTAGTCCATCTAATTCAGTACTCTCTCTCCAAGATCTCTGGCAGAGTAATGTCTTAGCACCTTCTACCTGGGATCCTTTAATTGGAGATTCCAGGGACTGCATGTGGGATTGTCTGCATGCAAGGCCTGTGCTCTCCCTGTGAGCCACAGCTTCTCCCTACATCCATCCCCACTTCCTTGTGGAGTCACCCATGTTGATCAGTCCAAATAAAGGACTCAGTCCCACTTCTTCCTTGCTCTCATGCTCAAAGGGTTCTTCCTACTATTTTTTTTTTAAGTTCCTGTTGAGACTTTGGGGAACTGCTAGCTCCCAGCGTCATGCTAGCTCCCATTGAGGGGACAAGCTTGGAGTATGTGTACAGTTCCAGTCAAATTCTAATGGCATAGAGTGACAGGATTTCTTCTCCTTTTTCCAGATGCATGGGTGAACTTGAAACTAGAGGGAAAACAACAGTGTCTGGAGTGCTGCCCTATTATAGCCTAGCTTTGGCAGATATAGTTATGGTGTTAGCATAGAGAAAGGGAAGCCTGATCATGCCAATACAAATGCTGCTGGAGTAAGTATGGCTACCAGCAGCACTACTGGCCAACCTTTGTAGGAGGAATTGGCTTCTTTCCAACCAGTCAGGCATTTGGGAATGGGTGAAGGGAAAGTATCAAGTTAGGACTGCCCATAAGGAGCTCCAGTGGCTTTCCAGGAGAGCTGTAAGGCTTTGTGCCCTCTCTGCATCTAGTGGATTTATCATTGCCTCTTTCAGGATCCATGTCTCCAATGCAAATGTGCTAGCTCTCCAGGTGAAACTGATATCCCATTAGCTCTTGCTTTGCCTCTCCTCCCCTGCTAGGGTGCAACAAACTCCCCATTCCTATCCTTGGTGCTTGGCGGGGGACTCTGGGCAACAGGCCCATTCCTTTGCACTTTCTTTCTGTTCTTGGGTTTCCAAGCTCCATGATTTTTGTATGTTTTGTTTCTTTAACTTGCTTCAAGCTGCTCATGTGCCTGCCCTCTTCAACCCCCCATGCACCTTCCCTTCCTGCCCTTACTCCTGTTTTCACTTGTAAATTCTTTCTGTATCACATAACTATATGATGTTGAGTTGCTGTTTGTATGATTTTTCTCTTCAGTTACATCTTTATTATATTTTTAGGGCCCAGGGATCATCCTGATATTGTTGATTCATTTATGCAACTCCTGGCACAGGTGTGTTTTAGTTTCTTATTCATTCACTTTCTGTTCTCTCTCTTTCTCTTTTTTAATTCAATTTAAACCTATTTTAGCTTTCTGTTGACAACGTTTTTTCCTTTTAGTTGAATATCGAGTTTCTCCATCTGTTTCCGTGGAAGTTGAAAACAAAACATTCTCCTTTTCATAGGTCTGAGTTTGCCCCTTCCTTTCCTTGAGGGGCTGTACCAAGTGATGCAAGAAGGCTTGTAGGCTGGATTTGTTTTCAGGCTTTGTGCTGTGACCTGGTGGCACAAGATGGGGCTGCTGCAAAATGGCAAATGAGACTGAGAGCTGGAGCAGGAGCATTCCTGAAATCCTGCTCTCTGAGTGTGTGTGTGTGTGTGTGTGTGTGTGTGTATTGTCAGCCTAAGCTGAATGTGGACAGGTCCACTTTCTCTGGGCATTGGGTGAGAATGACATGGCATTCTTGGGTAACCTGGACTGCACCCAAAGGCCTTGGTGGGCATGTGATCCAGAGTCATCTGATAAAGGAATAAGCAGCAGCAATGAGAGGGCAGGAGAGCCAAAATCTGTGTCCCTGTTTGGCCTTAAACCCTTTTGGACTCTGTTCTCCCACACTGCTGTCAAGACTTCCCAGCTCTCATTCCTTTCAGGTTGTGAACCTTTTGTACAGCCTTGTCTCTAATACTGTAGTAGCATCATTCACATGGCAGTGATGGTGGAGTACGAACTGCACAGTGGCTGGTGGGTACGGAGGAGGAGACGCGGTAGACTTAGATGTGCAGCCCATAGATTGGGAATAAGTAACAATGCTAGGAACTGTGGAGGCAGCGAAGGTGGGAGGGCTCAGCTTTCCTGATTATGGCAAGATGCTGGCAGTGGGGTTGGTTTATTGTACCCGATGCGGTTTCCATATAGTGTGATGTGGAAAGTATCCAAGCACTTAGCTCCCCCTTGTGGCAGTTTAAACATCTAGCAGACGTCATGTGTAATAATATTGCCTCTCTGCCATACCTCTTCTGGAGAGCTCAACTGAAATTTCAGAAAAATTGGAAATGTTGACATTTAACATTAAGATTCTGAAGATGAAATTTAACCAAAAAATTATATCTCAAAACAGGCATTTCATCTTGAAATGCTTATTTTTGTTATCAGGTTTAAGGGGATGTTAGCAGCCAATAGTAGTTAAATGACTAGAATATTCATCTCCCAGGAGAGAGGGGTAGATGTAGGAAAATGAGGAGAAAATGGAATGTTGTGATGGAGGAAAAACAGAGGAAAAATATCCAATCTGACCAAAATGTGTGAGGGGAGGGGGAAAGATGGACTGAGAAGAGAAATCTATTTGGTCAAATATATGCACCCTGCTGAGGGTCCCATTGTAGCTCCAACTCAATAGGGAGATACTTGAGGAGCATAATCTGCTTGCTGCCTACATCCAGTTCTCAAAGTGCTCCCTAAAGACCAGAATTTAGGGTTTAAAGAAGCTGAGGCCTAATCTCCAGCCTACATTGTTCCTGAGGAGAAAGCCTGGCATTGTATCAGGGACAAACTGAAACTTAAATGGATTTCAGTGAGCTTGGAACAATCTTGTCAATACTACTTTTTATAGGATTGTCATCTCACCCACCCCAGCCCTTTTTTCCTTAGGTTGAATAACTTTTTTGTTCCTTTAACTGGGATAATTTATGTGAGAAAGTATCTGGTTCTGGGGTCTGGACTGATGTAGCTGCTGTTGCCTATTAGTGTATTTCATCCCTTGACCAGAATGTATGAAATCTAATGGCCTGCAGAGACTGTGCACTACACCTGGAACCAGTGGCATCATTATTCTCTCCTATGCCTTCATGTTTATGAACCCATTGCTTACTCTCACACCTACGTCTCACAGCCAAGTTGTGAAGGAAATGGGTCCACCCAAGTGTCACACTGATACCAAACAAAAACATTCATGTAATATACTGGAAGAAATTTGCCAACATATTCACAGAAGAAACTTTTTGGAAGTGGATCTTCTTCAGCTATCTTATGTTGTGAATATTTTTTTTAATTCCTATTTTCAAACCCTGCTTGCTGAAATTAATAATAAACGTTCTGGCTACACATACAATTAATGAAAAGCATATGTTTAACATGTATTTCAAATGTCTGACATGGTCTTGTTCAGTACAGGATATATTTGATTGTTCCACCTGGAAGAACTCAGATCTTCTCCAATAGACATTTGGAGTCTAAGATCATTGCTTTTGTAAAACCTTGTTAGTGCCAGCAATCCATGGAGACTGGTTTTTACCAGCACAGTACCATTTTAAACATAATCTACTGTGAGAGAGATGCTTCCTCAGCAGCACTACTTGCATAGTGACATGCCAGCTCTCTCTTCCTGGCTTACCCAGGGTGTGATATTCCAGTTGCCTGTGATATTCATTCTAAAGTTCTTTGTGTCACTTCTTGGGGTAGCAAACAATTTGCAAGACAGGAGTTTTTCCCCAGACAAATGGATTTTGTCCCAGCTTACCTCACAAAGAGAACAACTTTTTCCAAAATGCTTCTAATAAGGGATCAGATTCCTCAAGGACCAGAGAGGGTAGGAAAGTTTGTGAAGAATTAGAGACACATGGAACCATTATTTTCATGCTTGATTTTTTCCATTCAGATGCCCATATCTTGGAGGTAACACTTCAGCCCTGAATTTTCACAAATTTTATAGTAAAGTGAAAATTCTAGAACTCGTCAAACAATTTTCATGCTGCCATCCATAACTGAGCAGGGAAATTCAAGTGTTCTTTTAGCATGGCAAAAAGTTGCTGATGTGCCTTATCTCAATCATCTAACAATTGATCCTGTTATCCATTCCCCTGGGAGAAAGTAAAGAGGCATGTAAAGCATCAGACCCATATGTTCAATGTAATTCAACCCTAGTCACTTCAGCTGGACTCCCTTGCTCTGTGCTAGTCATGTGGAACGGCCCACACTAACATATTGGTATTGCATACTGTCAAAGGGCCCTGAAATAAAAATATGATGTAACTATGGGGTCTAGTCTAGACATAACACAGGCACTGGGATAAAAGTAGCTGCTTACTTAGTAATTTCATATTTTATGTATATATATATATATCCCCCTCCCTCCTTTTGGCAGACCCACAATAAAAACAATGTATAGTACAACCAGTTCTAAAATATTCAATGAAAGTAGTCTTGGCTTGCTAAACAGAGAGGCTTGAGGCATATGCCCAACTGCTACTAATGGAGCCTGATGGGAACAAAGCCTAGAAATTTTGAAAGGACTGGTGCTACCAATGGGAGAGCAGTTCTCTTTGTGACCACCACCCTTTTTGCTCAGATGGCTGGTAGCTCTTGGATGGTCTAAACACGTGGGGGAATTAGTGGCTTAAGAGTCAGGATATGTCTCTGGCAACCAAGATCGAGTTAATTTATGCCACAGTATTCCTGACTCTAGTTCCAGCTCCTGCCAACCTAGCAGTTCGAAAGCAAGAAATTGCAAGTAGATAAATAGGTACCACTTCGGTGGGAAGGTAACAGCGTTCCATGTGCCTTGGTGTTTAGTCATGCCGGCCACATGACCACGGAAACGTCTTCGGACAGCGCTGGCTCTTCGGGTTTGAAACAGAGATGAGCACCGCAACCCTAGAGTCGGATTCGACTGGCTTTCGAGCAAGGGAACCTTTACCTTTACCTTTATTCCCTATTACTTGGGTGTGAAAGTTGGACATTATAGAAAGCTGACAGGAAGAAAGTAGATTCCTTTGAAATGTGGTGTTGGAGGAGAGTTTTAGAGATATTGTGGACTGTCAAAGAGACAAATAGGAGGGTTCTAGACCAAATCAAGCCTGAACTCTCCCTGGAAGCTAAATGACTAAACAGAGGCTTTTGTGCTTTGGCCACATCATGAGAAGATAAGAGTCACTGGAAAAGACAATAATGCTAGGAAAAGTTGAAGGCAGCAGGAAAAGAAGAAGACCAAACATGAGATGGATTGATTCCATCAAGGGAGCCATAGCTCTCAGTTTGCAACACCTGAGGATGGCTGTTAACGATGGGACATTTTGGAGGACATTAATTCACAAGGTTGCCATAAGTTGGAAGTGACTTGATGGTACTTGACAGACAACATAGGGCAAAGAAATTATTGAGAGGTGTTCTTGTCCCAAGCTCTTTCTGGTTCTGGGTTCTAGATCAAATATTGAAGATGGTCTGGTTTGAGAAAGCACAATTTGACAGGCCACCCAAAGTTTATGATCAGCAGAGAGTTATTGAATCTCATGTGCCCTTCTCTGGTAGTCACTTGGATCGCTATTAAATATAAAGACTTTGGAAGACTTGGGCTAACCGATTTAATATTTGTTGCTTGATTATCTTGTACAGTAGGAGGTCCCTGTCCAGGATAACTTCAGGTTGCTGCATTAAATGATCTCACACACTCTACAAATTCTGCCCCAGGCAAATCACTTTATACTTGCACAAAGATAGTTGAGTTCAATTGAAATATTTTTTTCACATCCATCACTTAGTAGCAAACATAAAGAGCTGAGATACCAGGTCAAACACAAGGGCCAGTTTGCTAGAATGAGATTATTGGGCAAGTAACTAAATTGCTTGTTCAGTAAAGTAAACAAAGTTGTAGCATGTGAAAATATTTGTTCATTTTCTCTCACACACTCTAGATATATTTACAATGTATCCTGCTGCCTGCCCAATCAGGGCAACCAAGGTGGCTAACAAAACAAGCATAATAAAAATACATCAGAAAACCAATATATACATCCTTTCATGATTTTCCTTACAGTTTCCTTTCTTTGTTCCCCAAGCTATAGTTCTAAAATAATCAAGTTCTTCTGGTTTCTAAAAGTTGTCCAGTAATGCTTATGCTATCATAAAATCAAATAACTCTGTACTGCCAGTATGTCAAAGGGAAAGTAGAATGAAAAAAGGGGATTATAATTCCTTTAATTATATTTTATTGAGCCAACAGTAATTGCTTAAAAGGTCAA